GGGGTCCTTATTTCACCTGCAGAAGAAATTATTTTCCGTTCAGTAATTAACGTATTGTTTCCCAGAATTTCGTTAAAATACCCTCACCCGTACAATTTTGACAGTTTTGTTCTTTTAACTGACACACTATGCTAATTTCACAATACTTTATAATATATTTATTGGCCTTAACTTTCTAATTATTTTTTTTTTGTAAAAGTCGTCGAGTAGCATAACGAAATACTGGGAAAACAAATGTACATCTTTGTTGTGGAAGAAAATAAATTAAGCTCTATAAATTGAATAAACGAAGTCTTGTAATCCGGCATGCAGAAGCATTTATTGTTGGCATAGCCAGGAGACGAAGCAAAAAGAATGACGGAATTTTTTTGTCACTTCCCGGAACCTGAACCCCCGGTTCATGTTTATATATGTCATGTTTTACGCCAAGAAAATACATAAACCCTAGCTTATAGTGACTTACAGGTATCAAATATACTTCTTAGTGGCAAGATGCCAGAATTCCTAAAGACTTTTCGACCAACTCTGGTTCGTTCTACAGCCCCATTGTAATCAGAGCCGTAACCGGAAACAAATTATGACTGAGGCAGTGTCCAAGAAATGAGTTGTGACTGGGGCAATGTCCATGGTTTAATTCTCTTCCTGGGAATTTAGGGTGTTTTTGATGACTATAACAACAAAAACGAAAAAAAAAAAATGACTGAGGCAAGTGCCTCGGTTTGCCTGTTGCTAGCTACGGCCCTGGTAATAGAATTTTGTAATGACCGATTTCCTAGGTGCGCCCGTGCTTGCAGCTATGCCGGATCATATCATTCTTTGTTCAGAACGTTCCATAGCTTAGTATAGTCAGATCGTTCCAAAACAAAAAAAAAGAAAGAAAAAAAGAAAAAAAAAAGTCAGATCGCTCCACATTACAGTGGCAACCCCCTAATCCGGTCACCAACGAGCCTCAAAAATCTGGCCGTATTAACGAGGTGGCCGTTTAAAAGCGGTTCTTTAAATAAGAAAATGACTGACTGAGCAGTTTTGTTCGGGCCAGAATAAAGTGGCCGTAATAACGAGGTGACCGTATTAACGGTGGGTGGCCGTAAGGCAGGGTTCCTACTGTGTAGTCATTTCATTCCACTAATAAGAAGGCAAGGAAAATATTCCTGATGTTTAGTTGAACGAACGAGTTGCTAGTTGACACAAATACGTTGGTTACTTTATCACGTCCCGGTTTGAAAATATTCTATCGAAAAAAATCTTTTTTCCTTCGGAAACTGCACGTTAATTAAATCTCCAAGTATACTTGACTTGTTAATGTTGTTGCACTTAGCATGCTTAGTAAGTTGAATTTTTCGGCGAAAATTAGGTTTTTCATGTAAGGACGAACTTCAAGTTGAAGTCTACATTTACTCCGGCTATCGATCCTGAAAACAGTTCAATATCGTCCTGATTGATCAGTGATGTAAGCAGTACTCAGAACACTCAACTTACACTCGAATTTCACTCTTGGAGCAATCTATTAACTCTTTTGGGGATCTTTTATCCTACTGATTATGTTTAGTAGTAGTAATAAGACTGAAGTCTGAGTCAGTAAACTACAATTGTCTTAAACGTAGGTTTACATCAAGATCAACAGGGAGTATATAAGGAGCCGCGGACTTGGTCGACCTCTCAAACTGAAAAGTATCAGTGCGAACTCGGAAAGTGCGAACTTGATTGGATACGTAACCTTCTTCTACCTACAAATAGCAGACAGATTTAAGTAGAAGCTGTTAAAATAATAGGTATGAGAGTGATTGAAGACGTTTCCTATTGAAAGTTGGCGATGAAGTGTGGCGTCTTTTCATGATCTACGACTAAGTCCCCGATCACACTTCTAATGTCTCCGTTTTCGTTTCAACGAAAACGAAGCTAATTATTTTCAACCACACTAGCGTTTTCGATTTGTATTCATCTGTCCACATTCGAAAACACATGCTTTTTGATTCGTTTTCGCGTATCGATCGTCCACACTAAAGCGCCCGAAAACGCTGATGGAAACGACAGAATATGACACTTATTGCAGCACCGTTTTCAAAGCCTCCGTTTTCACTTATCCACACCAGAAACTGAGCGTTTTCAAAACGATATGTTCAAAAAAGGCTCCACTTTTGAATCCGTTTCGAAGGCCTCCGTTTCAGCAACGTTTTCGGGCGTATGGACGATAGACGAAAACGCATCAAAAAGTGTGCGTTTTCTCACGAAACTGACGCATTAGTCATGTGGTCGGGGACTAAATTCTTAAAATTTTTGGATTTTCCACACGTGCTGGAAACCACGTGCGATTTTTTGCGCTCCTTGAAATATTGTTAGCGCACCCTCTAGACTACTATGGGTAATGATTATCAAGTAGATACTCTGGTCGGTTGGTAAACATTTAATGTTTTCAAGTGTGATACGGCTAAACAACGCTTTCGAATCTCTTCGGGTCGGGCAAAGCCTCACGTGAGCGATCGCGCTTTTCCGATCAGCGGCTACTACCATTAGAGTCTCCATCCGCAACGCGATACTCCTCCTGGACTCGCGAAATGTTGTCACGATTTTATGTGAAGTGGTGTGTGTCTTGGCTTATTTAGCCGCGTTTCCTCCTCTGTGAAGCAAAATGATGGAAGAAGAGGATTCATATGGGTTCGAGCAAACCCTGGTAAGCTACAGTCTTCTTTCAAAGTGTTTTGTTGTCTCTCACTTTGCGAACAACCACAAACATAAGCAAATAAAATTTGACGAACTCACACTTGAATGGGAAATAGGACGTTCGATTCGATTTCACATTGAAAGTTTTTCATTATTGCCATGTCGGAGAGAAACTAGCTGTAGTCTGTGAACCTCATATATTCGCATATATTCGAATATATAAAGTTTGAATTCAATAAGGATGTTTTCATGTTGGATACGATGTCATTAACAACATGCATTTAATTGCGATTCGTGTCAGCAAGATATTCCTTCAACGACCAATAAGCCTTTTAGCCACAGGTTCATTTCAGCTTAACTTTAAGGACTGTTAAAGTCTTATTAAATCCCTCTCCCAACATAGTGTGTTTCTGAACAGTAAATACCGTTTATCTTCGCTCAAAGTGCAGACATTTTAATGTCAAAACATGCCAGTATTTCTGAATGGGTATCGTCGCATATCAACATGTATGACACTGTCAATGATTCTTCCTGATTTATGAAACGGAAATGTAGAGAACGCCGGAGTTATAATTTAACAATTTCACAAGACAATGAAGATTAAGATGTACCAATTTTTACTTTGGATCGCGTTTTGTGCACATGTGTTGAAATTGCTTATCATATAATAAACTATTTTCCAGATGTTGGTTCGAAATATTTGTAGCCAGCTGTCCGGCATCTCACACAATTTGACTGCTGTAGACCAGAAATCTATTCATTTTGTCAATTGATCTATTTTTTGATCGAGTATTTTATATACATTACATTGTTTAATACTATAGATTTTCATTAAAATATTGTAAAAACTTACGTAACAATTATTTATTGATAAGCTTACGGAGAAATTAAAAGTGTTATAAATTATTACGGGATTGATCAACAAATGTAAATTAAGACTATTCTACTGTGTTTCACTTTTTTCACAAAAAGATTTAGTTACTCATTGTAGCAAAACATCATTGCCCTCAAATAATTTTGCCTCCAAATATGTTTCCAGTATTGAATTTCAAAGTCACGTAAGAGCACTATATAGTTCTGGCCTTTTTGAGCATATCTTTCTTTAATCAAACCTTGTTGATGAGTAAATTTGATACATTGCCAAAAAAACTTCTCCCTTTCAAGAGTGCGTCAGGCACTGTCATGTCTGTGCCTAATGATCATCATTGTGTATTTTCAAAGTTATTTATTTATTTAGTCTTTGATCAAGTCCATAAGATGTCTTGAGAAGTTGATTTATAAAATATTTCAGATACATGTAGTACACATCCTCTCATTGGTTGATAGTTTTGTTTAGATAGGGGTACGTAAACACAATTGTGGCAAGAAATATTTTGTAAAAGTCCTCTAGAGGACTTTTTCTGTGTTTACATAAACTCATCTAAACACTGAGGGGAGGGGTTGTGAAAATTCTCAATAGTTATGGAAACCCTTGACTACATCTTGGGCTTCCATAACTGTCTTAAATTATCTAACCCCCTCTCCCTAGTGTTTAGACAGGGCTATGTAAACAGGGTCAAAGTCCTCTATTCCTTATTTATAAACAATTTCTTTTCATGTATGTTTAGATGTATGGTCGTTTTACGACCACACAACTTCAGAACTATGCTAAAGAACAAGGTGCAAGGTTACGAAGGGAGGAGAAACAAAGGAGAGAGGAACAAGAACAAACAGAGGATGACTTTAGAACTTATGATCATTCATGGCTAGGTCCAGTTAAAAGTAAGTAAACTTGTAACCAGCAATCTTGGATGGCCAAGACTTGACATAATATATCATACCTGACAGTCATTTCCAAGTACGAGATGGAGTTGAAAATATATGTTGTTAAAGTGCCCTTATGATCAAATTCTCAATATCCATTTTTTTTTGGACATTTTTGTACACAATAGGTCTTTCCTAGATACATGTATCTTGCCAAATTTCAATCTATTATGAACATTACAACTTGTGTTTTTTGGACCTTCATGTGCAAGAATTTACGGCGGCCATTAATTTTCCTTGTTCCAAGGCTTGGTTTAGAATTGGGGCAAATGACATCATTTACTCAAAAATACCGCACAGGTTGATATTATAATAACAATTAGTGTAGAAAATTGCAAGAATATAAGAGCCAAAGTTTTTGTTATTCTTTATGCAAATTGCTGCAGTACTAATTGATTCTTCAATTGGCCACTGGATCACCATGTTTGATTCAGCAGCTTCTTTGTTAAGAAGAATTGCGGGCACACTAATAAATGCATGTGCGGAGCCTGGTACTACTACTAACAATGTGGCAGAGCAGGGGACCAATTCTAATATCATGTCTGTCAACTGCACACAGCCTTGGCTTGGTGTTGAAAATTACATAGACGCAAAACTAGATGAGGAAGAAGAGAAAACCCTGTGGGGGGGAGGTACTCCCCTATATGGGCTATATAGGTATGTGCAGCCCCAAAGGGTATGGTTTTTCAGCTGTTTTGGTTATAAATAGGGTATCGATTTTAGCCTATTTGGTCTTAACTAAGGCATGGTTTTAGCACTCTGGTCTTGAATTGGGTATGTTTCTTAGAAGAAGCTACTTTTTTATCGTTATCAATAAGACCGTCCACAGAAGCCCTTCATAACTTATGTTTAGGGCAACTGTGCCAGTCGCAACGGTCATAAATAGGCTACCGAATTTTTGGCCAGGTCATAAATAGGGTAGCAAAAATCGCAGAATTTGGTCGTAAATGGGGTAAGGTTTTCTGGGAGTACCCCGCCCCCGGGGGTAGGTTTCCAAGGTGTGGCTCCTCACCAGGTCTCCAAGGTGTGGCTCCTTCCCCTTTTAATCTGCCCGCGGGAGGCTGGTATTTCGGAGCAGAGGAAATGACGCTTATCCTGTGATGACTTGGTGACTTACCGGAACTGTTAAACTGCGAATGAATTACAAAAGAATCACAAAGTAACACACGAGTGCCTTTATTTACTAAATCTAAACAACTGTATAGGACTAGAACTTTGTCATGGTATTTTAGGTTTGATGCAGGCCAGGTAATCAAATCCATTGACACCTCTGGAAAGATCACCTTTAACTTTGTAAAATGGGCCAGTTTGAAAGTTATGTCGTTACAGATAGCGAAGAATGATTGCATGGGAGACGTGTAACGTTGACATGACGTGCAAACTTGGCAATAATTCAAACTTCAAGGTAATCTTTTCTGAGGTGTCAGTCGATTTTCATTGTCTGCACTACATCAGCATCTAAAAATACCGTGACAAAGGTCTACTAAAAAGAATATTTGCAGCCTTCGTCTTCGTCGTTTAAACGTGTGTAAGAGAACCAATGTTACCAACTGGGCAAGACACTTTTCTCCCAATGTGCCCCTCCCTCTCCACTCAGGAGATTGAATGAGGGTCTTAAATGGCTACAAGCGATATGTTGGGATAACCTGACAAAATGCTGGGGGTGGGGGGGGGGG